ATAGAATCACTTTCAGGACCTTCTCTTGCTAAACCAAAGTCACCAATTCTAGGTTCAAAATTTTTGTCAAGTAGAATATTAGCACTCTTGATATCACCATGTATCAAAGGTTTTTCTCCAATTGTATGTAAATACTGTAATCCACAAGCAGTACCTCTAGCTATTTCATGTCGCTGAATCCAGGATAATGGTTGACTTTTCTGTCTCATTCGTAATCTGTCTTCTAAAGATCCATTTTTCATAAGTTGATAAATAAGACAAGGTACTTTATCTATACTATATGCATATAATGGTAAAATATTTTCATGCCGACAAAAATTTAAAATTTTAATTTCTCTAAGAGATTGTTGAAGTTGAAGTACAAAACTTTCATCAGAATCTGTTCCTCTTTTTTCTATTTTTTTGATAGCTACATTTGTATTTTTCCAAGTACCTATATAATAAATATATAAGAAATAATTTCAAATTCAAATACAATTAAGAAGTTTTTAATTAATGTATTTTATATTAATCACCTCTATACACAGTTCCAAAACCACCTCTTCCTAATATATTATTTTTATTCCATTCATTGGTAGCTATATTCAATTCATTATAAATAACACAAGGTATACTTGCTTCTGGTTTCAAAACATCATCTTTTTTTTTATTTGTTGAAACATGTGATAAAGAAACTGGTAAAGGATTTGCTGCTGCTAAAGAAGCAACAAGTAAATTATTAGAATTACTTGGACTAACTCCAATATGTATGGCTTGCATTGGTTTATTTAAAATTTTATAAGATTCTTCCTTAGTAATTTTTTCTACAGTAATTTTTGGTACATTTGGTTCTGGTGATGCAATATGATTAAAATTTTGCTTTCCTATTTTTAAATCTTTTGTATTTTTATTTAATTGTTTTCCAAGTAATCTATAAAAATTTCCTTCACCATTATAAAGTAACTTGTGAAACTTTTCTTCAACAAAAGGTATTAATGGTAACATAGATTGATAATGCTGCATTCTTGATAGTAAAACAAACAATTCCAATATAGTATGATTATGATGTCCCCATAATGTTAATAATTCATCTGTTGGATTTTTTTCTTTTCTTAAAGTTTGTATCGTTAATACATCATATTTCATATATATTCCTAAATAAATTTTTTATTTAATATTAATCTTTATATCAATGTATTATAAAAAGTAATCTCTTCTTGACAAATAAGATTTTAATTTTCTCATAAAAAATAACATTATTTCACCGTTTTTAAAAGCAAATATATTCTTTTTCGTGACAAATAAATGCTATTAATGTTATTATTTTTTGTATCATAATAATGAAAAGTATTGTTAAATAACATAAACACAATATTAGGTTCTTTTTATAACTTACCAGCAAGTTCTTCCCATTTGTCATTTTGATTGAGTATTTTACAAAATTCCGATCGCGTAAAAAATGGCAATTGATAAATATATTCAATTTTATCTCTACAGCTTGAGGATGTCATAATTAATATAATCTATTCATAAAAAATTATTAATTTTTGGAATTTCTCAAAATAAATATAAACATAACTAATAATAAAATTAATAAAATTAATAATACACGAATAAGTATTTCTCTTTCATTATCAATTTTAGATTGAATATAATTCTTATACTAAATACTCTAAATCAGAAGGCATACCAAATATGCAATTAGTAATTTAGAACATGCGTCATAAAATTCCATAAAATGGAAAATCTATTTTGTACTTTATCAGTGGTAAAATTAGTAATGCCCTCTAGAGATAAAATTTAAAATCAAGCAACCACAAACTTATTAAGTAAATTTTTTTCAATATTACGTTCGCCATTTTGGATCAGAGTTACATGCTAAAAGTTGTGTATGTTGTGGCAGAGCGATTGTGCATGTTCTAAAAACATTGCATCTATATAATTTTGAGCTATTAAAAAACGACAAAGAGATGGCAGAGTATTTGGCATCAATTTTTGGTACAGAGAAAGATAAGTAAGTTGAATTTCCAAATTAATATTTTATTTAAAAACATTCTCCAAATTAACATCAATAATATTTTTTTTTTATTTTTAGAGTAAATTGTTCGTTTTATTTTAAAATCGGTGCTTGTCGACATGGAGATCGGTGTTCACGAATTCATAACAAGCCAACTTTCAGTCAGGTAAAAATGTTTTTCTTAACCTTCAAAATTTATTAAATTTTTACATTTTTTATTAAATGATATTCTATTATTTTATAAACTTTTATACATAAAGATTTGTCAATTGTCAATTTTAATTTTTTTATAATAAATAAATTATATGAGAGGTTATAATTAATTATAAGTAAAAGTTATATAAATAAAATTAAATTATATAAATGTATTTATATCTATATCATTTTAAATTTTCTCATGCAGTATATTTTTCATATCAATATTAATTAAGAATTAAACTCTTTTAGACATGCTTATTGCAGAATCTTTATGTGAACCCTCAGAATTCAGCAAAAAGTGCAGATGGATCTCATTGTAAATATATTATAATAAATTATATTTTTATTAATATTTGATAATATTTTATTATTTGATTTCTATAAAATCATATAATTACTAAATATATTTCTATAGTGGTTGCAAATGTATCTGATGAAGAAATGCAAGAACATTATGACAACTTTTTTGAGGATGTCTTTGTTGAATGTGAAGATAAATATGGTGAAATAGAAGAAATGAATGTGTGTGATAATCTTGGGGATCATTTAGTTGGAAATGTTTATATTAAATTTCGAAGAGAAGAAGATGCAGAAAGAGCTGTTAATGACTTGAACAATAGATGGTTTGGTGGAAGACCAGTTTATGCTGAACTTTCTCCAGTTACTGATTTTAGAGAAGCATGTTGCCGTCAATATGAAATGGGGTATATTACCTACTATAATATGTGTACTACATAATAAAATAACATTCAAAATAATTTATAATAAAAAATAACTTTTATAAAATATAAATTAACATCTTTAAAATATTTTTGCAGAGAATGTACACGTTCAGGATTTTGTAATTTCATGCATTTGAAACCTATTTCACGGGAATTACGACGTTACTTATATAGTCGAAAAAAAGGTGGTAAGGGTCGATCAAGATCACGTTCGCGATCCCGTGGTCGTGATCGTAAACGAAGATCACGATCTCGTGACAGGAGATCCAGATCCAAAGATCGCCGAAAAGGTAGAGATGATAAAGGTAGAGATGGACGATCTGGAAGGTATTAATTATATTAATTTCCAATTGTAATAATTCTTCATAATAAAATGATTTAAATTTACTTATTACTTCTGTAACTGTTTGGTCAAAAATAATCTGCCAAGATATTTTTAAATTTTCATTTTTGAACATTTTTATCAATTATATTTCATTTTTAAATATATTGAATTTCTTTAAATAATTTAAAAAAAAATGAAAAATACACTTCTATTAAAACGAAATTTGACATTTACATAAGTACTTTTAAAATATGATTAAAAAATTAGATGAGATAAAAATACTCAAAATGATTGAGATGTACTATATTGAGAACTGTTTTTAAAATATTAAATATAATATTTAAAATATTCTTTTTAATAATTTGAATTTGTAAAATAGATATATCTGAATTTAAAATATATATATATACATACATATATATATATATATGTATGTATGTATATAAAATTTCTAAGAAATTGAATCTTTTCTCTTTTTCTCTTTTTATATATATGTAAACATTGTAACTTTATAAAATTATCGCAGTATAAAAAATTTTGCATGTGTAATAATAAAAATAAAAATTAGAAAACTATATATCCTTATTTTTAAATACACTGGTATAAATTTTAACTTAAAAAAGTTAATTTGTAATACTAGTTTGGTAATACTCAAATACAAAAAGCTTGCTTTTATGTACCTCAAACTATATTTAGTATTACTTCCAGCAGGAAGCAATAATTATTACAGTATGCAAAAAATTATGTTGAATGTTCATAATATAAAAATGAATAAAAAATACTTATTGATAAAGTATAATGGATTAAATTTAAAAAAAAATTTCTATTTTTGTCCAACATATAAAAAATTCTACAAATATTTCTTAAATTTCTTGTCATATACATTCATATGAAAATATAGGCCAAATTACATATACATATACTCTATTATTAAAATTTATAATAATTTTTTTATATTTTATGAGAAAAGTATAAATATATATACATTGAAATATACACGAAATAAAAACCAAGATTATTATAGATGATTAATATATAATATTTGTTAAAATATTTTAGAAAATTAATTTTTAAGAAATACTTATAGAGAAATTTTCTTTTTTTTAATAAAGCTTTTTTTTAATGGATATAGCTATGAAAAATAAGGTGAATAGCTGCAAACAAAATTTGATGAAAGAATATACTTTATACGACTTAAATAAATTATCCAAATTTTTTTTATAAATAATTCTAGAAATAATATATAGATTGAATTATTTTAACGTTGTAGCTGCATGTATAAAATTGTGATATGCGAATATTAATGAATAACGATGTAATGGGATGCACGCAATCGCCATTTAATACAGTAAATATTATAAATCTATCTATAAACTATTGCTTCCTACTTCGAAATGACACGAACTTCTTAACAACTTTGTTAACGTCATTGCAACGATGTACATGTATACATCACAATGTATTCGTGAATATCACGGATAAAATATATTATGTCAACGTACGTCTTTCAAAATGACTGGTGCTTTTTCTAAATGCCGCAATATTAAACACGCATCCATTTGATTTTACAACATTTCAATGTCTATTGAAATAGACAATACTTAAAAACATCTCAATAATTTTACAGGAATAAATGTATCATATTTTGTGGACATCAAGGTATAATACACAGTAGACGCATTTATATTTCCTTTTTCCAATGACTATTAACAGTTACCATTATATGATGTAAAAAGTATATTAAAGTAGTACAATTGAATCCGACGGAAAAGACGTATTTTGTAGTTTATTCTCATCAGAATTTCTCCAAAATATACTGTATACAATATTTTACTTTACGTATAAATATATACAGTTGTATTACGAGTGCGCACTAAGTATCATTTAGTGTGTCTCAAACATGAGATTGAGCAGTGCGCCATATTCTACTTTATATGTCTCAGAAGATATACTACCTTCTTTAGTGTAATTTTATTTTATTTTTTATAGGTAGGTAGTATAGTGCTTGTGATATCCATTTACTTTGCGTCTAAGCACAGAGGTATAAATTGATTAATTAATTTCTTCTCTTAAGATAACTAACAGCTTAGTAATGTCCTGCCCGCATCACTTATATCATGAAAATATTTACACTGTTTAGGTTACTAATTAATGATTACGATATTTCATAATAAGTTTATAGGATATGAGATCATTGTTTAGGGGGGCTAATCAGCATAAACAATGAACTGTTGATTATCCACATCTGCAACTTCAACTTGTACAAATTGAGGTTGTTGAAGTTGAATTTGTTGTACTTGTCTTCCAATAGCATTACGTGACCTATAAAAATCAAATAATTCATATTACTAAATAATAATTATTTGTTAATTAGTTTTCATTTAAAAAGTACATCTAAAAAAAAGAACAGGAATTAAATACTTACTTAGCCTTTGCATGTGTTAATATATGTGATTTTAAATTTGTTGATTGTGCAAATTTTTTGCTGCATCCATCAAATGGGCAAACATAAGGTCTGTCTCCTGTATGAATTCTAACATGTGTACGAAGATTAAAATCCAGACTAAACCTTTTACCACATCCTTCAAATGTACACTGGAAAGGTTTTTCTCCTGTATGAACTAATTGATGCCTTTTCAACTTAGAACTTTCAACAAAAGCTTTCCCACATTCTGCACATACATGCACTCTTGGCCCATGAGTATGTAAATGTTTACGCATTGCACTATTATCTCTGAACATTTTTGTGCATCCTTTATGTGGACAGGCTATAGTACGTTCAACACCATCTAGAACAGGTGGTTTGCGTACTTTCAATTTATGGCCCGGCCTAGCAAATTCTGCCAGTTGTTTGGGATCCGAAAGGTCAAGACCTGGCATTCCATCAGAAATGGAGCTTCCAGAATGATTGAATTTGGCATTGGATTTACCAGTCATGTATTCTGTGTAGTCTGGATCAGGCTCTGGATTTGAGCCTTCATCTGGAACATCCACCAGGTGAGGAGCTAATAGGACACTCCCTTTAACAACAACAAACAAGCAGTCCCAAACAAAAGCTACTGTATTTATTTTTTATTATTAAAATCACGTATTTTTATCTACATATAATAACAGAATAAATTTGTACAATGAATAAACTTTTTATAACTATTTAACTAAAAAAAATAAATATTTATATACATAAATTGAATAGCAAAAACTTTTTTTAATTGTATTTTTATATAAAAAAAGTATTTTTTTAAAAATTCATATTTATATATATTCTTATATATTCTTTAAAAAATTATTATATATTCAAATAATTTGTAAAGAATTTATATAGAATAATTAATTATGAATAAAAAAATAAAATACATTATATTTAATATAAAAGAATATATACGAATTTGATAACAAAAAAAATTAATATGAAAAATATTTATTCCATTAATATTTTGTTTCAATATATAAAATATAAATTCAATAGATATACATTATTTTTTTTCTTATATATAGATATAAAAATAATATATAAACTTGTATTTAAGAAAAAATCTCATAATTTTATTTCTTTTTATATCACATTCATTTTAAAATATATTTAATGAATTAATTTGATTATTGATTTAAATAATACAAATGTACGATTATATACTATTTGTCAACTTATTTTATTTTATTTTTTTAATATCTTTTTATTTTTTTATGATTTATTTGTTGATAGAATTTTTTAAAATGAAAATTAAAATTTTAATCTTCTAAATTAATTTAATAATTGCAAATATTTAAAGAGAAACAGGTATTACATCGAATGATGTAAGAAGTTAAAGTGTTTCATATTTAAAAGAATCTATCTTTTTTTAAATAATTTTAATACAAAAAACAAATTATTTTTTTTTCTAAATATACAAAAACAAATATAATAAAGAAAATTAAATATCAAATAATGCGTATTTAAAAAAAATAAAGATAATACAAGCATAGATCTTTGTCTATTCTGTTGTAAGTATATCTCCGCCATTATCATTCAACAAGACAGATCCACGTAAAAGAAGCCATTTTCAAAATATGGCTGCCCCCTGGTAGCATAATGGCGTTCCCTCGATCAAAACAAACAACGCAAACTGTCAACGAATTCATCAATAATAAAAAATTAGAGGACTCTATTAATTTCTTTGAGAAACGCATTTGGAAACTACAGTATTGATTCGACATCACCGGAAGTACGTATGAACAGTGTGCATGAAGAACTCGTTACAAAAAGTTTTCTAATTACCTCATTGTGTTTTATTTAAACTATCAAAAGGTTAGAAATAAATATAAAACTTACCGTCGTCAGTACCCGATGCCCACATCGTCACCGAAAATTCACCTTCGAGCGTCTTGATTTGCACTTGCTTCTGCTCCCACTTTCTAGCCTTCGTTTCTGAGCCCATTTCCCCAAAAATCGTATGATCAGACGATTTAAATTTCGACGAACCACCTTTTCTGGCCTTCTTAGGACCCTTCCTCGATGGACCAGGGCTTGACTCGACATAAATATCGTTCTCTGGAACTGGGATTTGATCATATACGCTTAGTGGATCACTACCGACGATTTCCTCTTGCGTCTGTAGTATGATTTCTTCGCGTCCTGGCTCTGGAAGAGTTTGAAGAGCTATCATCGGTTGCCCATCTTCTCCTTCGATTGTAGTTTCCACAGTCTCACAGGGTATTTCTACTGGTATTGTTTCTATTTCAACCTCTTGGATATCTGGTTGAATCTCCACTTCGGTTATTATGTCCGAGGACGCCATATTAATCTCCGCTGACGCCATGTTACTAATCAAAATGGCTGGCCACGGTTACTCGCGCGACAAGCGGAGCAGCAAGTTAACTGATCACGTGATGTGCTCCCACCATCATGATTAGTGATATGGTGCTCATTCAAAATTTCATCCATTTGTTTAAGTCAGATCTTTATTTAAAATTATTATTTTAATTTTTCTTATAAAATATAAAGTTCATGTACAATTAAGTGCACACAATATTCATTATAATGTTTCATACTATAATATATATTTTTGAAATGATTTCTTATATTTGATAAATTTCTTATGAGAACAACTAAAATATGCTTTTTTTCTTTTTTTTTATTATATGATTGCTCCATCTATTGAGAAAATAAAATAATACTTTTATTTAAAAGAAAATCTTAAATTTTGGTTAGACATGTAATAAGTATGGTTTTTGCATTATTCTTTCACATATCTTCTTGTTTTTGTTAGTATCTTTAATAGTTTTTTAAAACTCTGTAAATATATATTCTTAAGATATTTAAAGTAATATCAAGTGTATATTTATATATCTGATGTAACAAAGTTATAGGTTATAATTTTGAGATTATTAATACAATGGATTTATCAAAAATTCCAAATGATAAAAAATTATATCTTTGCAAATGGTATTTTAGAGGTAAATTATGCATATTTAATTGCTTTATTCTTCATTTATAAATATATATAAATGTTTCTTTATTTTTGAAGCTGGATTTGTTTTTCTACCATTTCTTTGGGCTGTGAATGCTATTTGGTTTGCAAAAGAAGCTTTCGTTGAACCACATTATGAGGAACAAAAACAAATTAAAAGATGTAAGTTACAAATAACTTAATACAAGTTATTATATCTGAATTTTGTAATTCTTTTTATGTAATGAAAATTTTCTATTATATTATAAGACATAATATTATATTAGTTAATTAATGTTATTGATTTTATTTTTATCAAATCTTATATTTTAATTTAGTTTAGTTTTTTTATTATATTAAAAATTTTTATTTAAGTAAATATATACATATATACATATATATATATATATATATATATATATATTTATTATATATATTGACATATTAATATTTTTATTAACTTTCAGATGTAATATTTTCTGCAATTGGAGCAGCTATATGGTCAGCTGCTCTTTTAGCATGGATTATTACATTTCAAACACAAAGAGCAGCATGGGGTGAATTTGCAGATTCTATTAGTTACATAATTCCAACTGGCATTCCTTGATGTTAAAATATATCTATCTTTGTATATTAATAAGTGATTATTATAATATAAATTTTTATTGTACAAATTAAAATGAAATAAGACTGTTCTTTTGTCTTGGTATTTAATTAAATAATTGTCTTTCAGATGTAAAAAATATATTATTTATTTAAATGTACTGATTTTAAATAAGATTAAAATTTGATAAAACATTCAAATTTTAATTAAATATAATTGAACATAAAATGTAACATTTTATACAATTTACATCATTTATAAAATGATTTAAGTTACAAATAAATATTTAAGAACTTATTTATTTGTACATATATACTCATTGTTTTTTAATAAGAATAAAATTAAATAGTTCTTCGTCGTCGTCTATATATTTGTACATCTCGATAAACTAATCTTGACAAAAGCTAAAAATTAAGCAAAACATTAAAATTAAAAATATTAATTATTTCTTAAGTATTTCTTAAATAAACTTACCAATAATGCCAACATGTCTGCAATCATAAGCATATAAAACACATTATGCCAACCAGTCCAACGTGCTACTACTCCTGCTAGTAATGGACCTACAGCAGCTCCAATACTTCCTGTGCCATCAATAATTGCAGTAACTGTAGCTAAAGCTTTAGAATTGTTTCCTAAACTAGGATGAGTTCCTAATTCAGCAGATACTGCAGTTGTTATTAAGGCATATGGTCCATTTACTAATAGACCTGCTATTAGTAATAATATAATGTTGAATGTCCATCCAGTGCTTCCAATGTAGTCATATATGAATAACTATACAAGTTATAAAAAAATTTTATAGAAGTAAATAATTATTAATTTAATGATATTTAAAACTTAAGTTACTAAAAATTATAAATATTTAAATTGTTATATATAAATTCTCAATATAAATTAAACATACAATAGGAACTGCAAATCCAAGCATGACTGCACATGTTAGAGCACTTGTACCACTATAATCAGATAAAATACCAGCTGCTATTGCGCCCACAATACCACCAACATCAAAAAAAGTAGATAAATCTGCACTTAATGTTGTGCCATATGTAGCTAAAAATAAAAAAAAATAATTATGGAAAATTTCAACATAAAATATACAATTTATAATTAAAATTTAAAGAATACTTACTTGAGGCTGCAATATATAATGGTAACCAATACAGGAATGTATAACTAACAAGTTTTGCGAAAAATAAGGAAAGAGAATATTCTATTACTCCAGGTATCATCATTGCTTTTGCAAATCCAATTGCATTTCCTCTATGAATTTCTTGTACATGTCTATGCCTTTGTAATATTGGACTAGTTTCAGATCGTGCAGTTTCTATATTCTTAGAAAATAAACTTTTCATAAATTTATAGAAGTATTGAAAAAATATAGATATACATATACACATGCAAATTCAAAAAAAATTTGAATATTAAAATGTTAGTAAACATTGAAACACAATATAATTTTATGTTAATATAATAATATATAAAGTAATTAATTACATAAAAAGAACAAAGCATGCACTTACATCAATATCAACCTGTTCGCGGTAGGCACAGCGATAAGTGAGACGCTAAGTATAATAAAGTAAATAGCTTTAATGAGCATACAATATGCGCAAAAAAGAAAAATAAATATAAAAATTTAATAAAAATATTTTTGCAACTAATTAGAATATTATTTAATATTATAAAATTAAAGAATTATCATTTAAAAATAGAAAGAAATTAGTATTAAACATCCAAAATTATTAAGATAAAAAAAAATTAATATAAGTAAAGAAATATACATTGCTAAATTTTTCTTTGCATATCATATTAATATAATGATATTATAATATATTATATTAATATATATGAAATATTTAAGAAAGATGTTATGTCTACATTCCAATAATAATAAAAACAACTAATAGTGCACAACATGCTGAAAATTAAATAAAAACATCACTAAAAATATATTTCTAACTTACATTATATGATTGATCATAATCCTCTGCACCACTATCCTCATCTGAACTATGAATAGTATCAAATTTTCTATATTTAGTTGGGACAGGTGGTATACATCCTATATCTATAGGATTTGGTGCAAGAAATAAAAATATTATAAATCCTGCAAGACCCATTATTATTCCAGGTACCATAAAACTTAAACCCCAATCAGATTCCACAAATTCAGCAGCTATTAAACTGCCTAAAATATTTCCTAATGATGTATGAGAATTCCATATTCCAAAAATTAATCCTCTTTTTCCTTTTCCAAACCAATTTCCTACAACTGTAACTACACCTGGCCAACCTGATGTTTGAAAAACACCACCTATTGCCTAATTGTAATAATATATGTTAATTTCATTCAAAAAAAATAATGAATAAAAAATTTTTTTTATATACATATACTTACTTGAATAAGAACAAAATACCATAAATTATGAATATTATATGGCCTAGCAATACCAAAGAGATAACAAGAAATACCAGATGCAAGCATGCCAAATGTAAGAAAATATCGTAGATTTACTCTTTCTGCTATAAAACCACTGTACATATAAATGCAAAATTATTATCAATATAATTTTTATAATCTCTGATTTCATAAATAAGCTCACTTCAATATGTCACCTGAGGAACATGGCTGCAGCATATGCAAACAGAAATGCTGAATCTAATATGCCAAGCAATGCTGGAGCATCAGCAGTGTCTAATTAAAATAAATAATATATAATAAATCTTATTTAAATTTTGAATTATTAAAATTATTAAAATAATATTATTCTTACCAAATGGAGCCCAATCACACCATGTATCTCGATTACTACTATTAATTAAAAAGTTTGGAGGAGGTGATAAAGTACTGCAATTAAAACTCAACACATTTTTTACAATAGACATAGGTTTTCGTGTCATATGGTAACATGTGTATGCTAAATATGTGAGTAACAAAATACCACCTTGATGCCATGTCATTCGATTGATTCGATGATGAGGACAACATTTGGAAATCATATATTCTATGATTTGTAAACCCCATGGTTGATCTCTTAATGGACCAGTCATATTTTTTAAAATATACTTTCTCCAATTATTAATTAACTTATTATAGATATTAAAAATATCTTGAGATTTATTATATGATTATTTTGTACTTTGTAATTTTTAATTTTAATTTTTATCTTATAAAAAATCACCAAATTAATTTTTATTTATATTGTTTAAAATCTTACAGAAAATATCTGTAAGCTATATGTTAATACTATTATAAAAAGACAATACTGTGCACATTTAGCTGTATATTAATACTTGCTACAATGAAAGATAATACTGTGCACGTTTTCTTCACTTACATAAAATTTTATTTAATAAAAATGATATATATTTATTTCAATAAATATAATGTAATAATATAATCTCCATAACATTCTTTAAATTTTAAATGATTTTTTTTTTATATTATAATAATTATAAATATAATTCACTATATAATACATCAATACTTATATTTTATTTTTCTTTTCAATATTTTTAATGTTATATTCTTTCTTATATTTTCTCTTTTCATTAATATTTTTATCATATTCAAAATTTCTTTCAATGACAGAATAATTATTTTATAGGAAGCACAAGTTAACGATAAATTCTATAAAGAAACTGGCTATGACTCATAACCTTTAACAAAGAAAACGTACCAGATGTAATAATATTATATAAATGTTTGAAAAAAATTATAATTTGTATATATTATAATTCACTATTATTACATTCTTATTGATTTTTAAGCAACACTACAAAAAATATAACTTTAAATTAAATGGAATGTTTACTATCAATAACGACAAATGATAACTATGTAACGTGTACATATGGTAAACTTAAAATATTACGTACACATGCACACACGCATACATGCATTTACTATCTTTATTGTGCATGTAGCAGACTGTTCAAGGTTATTCAAATACATAATTTTTACAATTTTTTATTATTTTATTATTTTACAAATTATATTGTTATTTTGCAATTATAATTTTAAATAAATTTTAAATATAATTTCTTTAATATATCCTTTCATAAATATTACTATGCATTATATGAATATCATTCATAGATTTCTCAATTATTATAAATTTTAGATACTTTATTATAAAAGTAGATAGACATAATTATTTATGAATTAAAATTTATACTTGTGTTTTTTATATGATAAAAATAATATCAAATTATGATTTTTTTATAAAAACTGATTTATAATATTATTATTAATATTAAAATATTATTAATAATAAATTAATTAATATAATAATATAATATATTAATTTATTAATTTATTATATACATATAAATTAAATTTATTTATACACATTATTAATAAATGTAATTATAAATATTGTGATAAATGTAAAAAATTCTTGCAGTAGATAATAGATAAGATATCGATGATTTGAAAAGAAAACAATAAATTAAAATTTAATCAAATATTAAAATATAAAGCAAATATTGATAAAAAAAAAATAAATGGTAGGAAAAGAACTAAGTTTAGTTAAAAATTAGGGAATCAACGACATTAAAATATCATAAATAAATAAAACAAAAGAAAAGATAAAAATATTGGGAAAAAGGATAGATAAAACCATCAATGCCATCTCTTGAGTGTTAAAAACATTTCAAAAGCAAAGTTAATCTATGTGTGCACAATCTATTTTTCTTCCATTATTTGTTTTTTTGTCTATGATTGTTTTTGACACGAGACCAGACATAGCAACGATGCAATAACAATGCAATTTTATTGTATGTTGATATATATTCATGATCATATCCAAATAACAAGTAAGAATTTTTACTTAAAATATATTAATTTTAAATATTATCATAATATTTGAAAAAAATAAAGTAAATTGACATATAAAGTTATACAAAATAATAAATATCGAAATTAATAAAACTATCAATTGTTTAAATATAATCATAAAGATAAGAAATAAAAATAAAAATATTTAATAATAAGAATTAAAATTTTGGAATTTAAAAATAAGTTTTAAATTATAATGGATGGAAATTCAGTTCTAAAGCGACCTAAACCAACTGATAGTGAAGAAGAATTATTTCGTATGCAAGAAGAATTTTTAAGAAATAAACAACAACCATCAGCTAAAGTAATTAATTTAAAGGAATCCACAAAATCTTTAAATACTACTTTTACTGCAATTCCTTACAAGCACAAGAGTTTTAATAAAGTCAAATCAAAATTTTCTGAATTAAAAAAATTAAAAACAGAAGATAGAATATGTACTTCGCAAGGAAGTGGTAATATTATAAATCCTTTAATTAAAGAAACTGAAAAAAACAAATTACAGGATTCTGTCCAAAATATAACATCTTCAAAAATAGTAATAGGAAATATTGTGGAAAAAAAATATGATACATATAAATTTGATAAAAAAAAATTCTTTTGTTATAATACAGGTTTTCCTGAAGTTTTTGTTTCTACAGATATGGTATATATAAATATATTTTTTAAAAATAAATAATATTAAAATATTTCAATATATTGATTCCAATTTATTTATTTATCTTTTTAGAAGAATGATAAAAGTCAAAGTTTATTTTGGCAACAAATTTCTCCTAAAAGTAATGCTTCAAATAATATAAAAGAATTCCAAAGTTCTGATTTTTTATGCATTAGTGATAAAAGTGTTATTATTGAAGGATCATGGGCAAATGAAATACATAAAGAAAATTTAGAACGATTAAACCAGATGAGTCAAGAAGATATATTAAAAGAAAAAAGTAAACTTGAAATAACTCTGAAACCAGAATTAATACAATTTTTAAGAGATAAAAGAATTAAAAAACAAAAAATAAATAAAATTCGAGAAAATAATGAAATATCAAATAATGAAGTTCAAGATCAAAATGTGAAATCTACATTTTTAAAAAAAACAATTATAGAAAAAATTTCTAATAAACATGATGATTCAATAAAAAATAATGATAATACTATGCAAATAGATGATCTTAAACAAAATATACCAAAATCTTCTAAAAAATTAATGGAACAAGCTAAAGAAAAAGGTTGGATACATATGGATTCTCTTGAATATGAAAAATTAAAATGGATGGAAGATATACCTGCAGAAAAAACAAATGAATCTGCTTCAGATGAACCATACAATGCTCGTTTTGACTTTAATGGTAAGTTTTTAAATATCAATCTATTTAAAAAAAAAAAATAAAAAATGCATTTCAATATTTTTAAAATATTTTTGTAATATTTTTAATAGGTGTATTATTAGCTTATAAAGATGACAATATATCTATGCAAAAAGGTTTACATCATCATGGAGAAGAACCTGAACGTCCTGGTTATTCTTTACAAGAATTATTGCAACTTACTCGATCGTCAACACAACAACAACGTTGTACAGCTCTTATAACTTTAGCAAATATTATAGAAAAAAGTCGTAAGGGTTGGTATGATAAAGTATTACAACCTCCACCCTTGATTGCATTAAGTCAAAGAAATCTTTTACTATTATTAAGATTTTCTTTGGATGATACATCAGTAGCTGTGATTACAGCAACTTTACAAGCACTTAGAGCTTTTTTATATAGTGAAGAGGATGAAATTTGTTTAGATAGATTATATGGTTTTAAAAATTATAAAGAACCTATTTTAACAACATCAAAAACTGATGTTGATGATATAAATAATTTAAAAGATCATGAACTAGTGCAATTGGATGCAATTGCTGGTTTATTAAGAACTGATATACTTTTAAGAATTCGGTATTTTCAATTATTTTATTTCTGAATAAATACTATGAAAAATTTATTAAAAAAACTAATTGAAATTATTTGTAGCTATATTTTGAATGAAGTGCGGCCATCACCAGTTGCTATAACTTGTGCATTGGAAATTTTAATTAGACTTGTACGACATTCGCCTATTACTACTATAAAAATTGCAAATACTTCACATTTATTGGAGATTATAATTGAACATTTTATACCGTTATCTACAAATGCATTAGGTTTTTATATGTTTTATATGTTTTATATAAATATTCGTATAAATATTATCATATTTAGAGATAATACAATATTTAGAAATAATGTAATCAAAATTTATATATTTTCATATTTATAGCAATAACAGATACTATAAATAATGTTTATGGAGTACCAGTAGTTGCTGCAGTTAGATTTTGTCGTGTTTTACTTTGTTATGGAGAAAAATCTGTTGCACAAAAATTAAATAATCTTAAAATTGTACAACGTATTATTTCGTACATCACTTGTGATGCAAGGTAATATTATATATTATTTACTTTAATTTAATTAATATCAATAATCAATTTTATAATTAATATATTAATAATCAATTTTTTTATATATAAATATTATATAAAACAAATTTTTTAATAGAAAAATAAGTTTTAATCTCAGCATTGAAAGTTTACGATTGTGGAAGACTTTATTGTTGTATGAAGAGGCAACAGATAGTTTAAGTGGGGCACAATTAATTCTTATATCCCAATTACAACTTTTGTTAAGTAATCACGATATTCAAAACATTTCTGAATTATTTTGTGAATATGCAGCAGCTTTAATTGCTGTTGCAAGTTGTTTAGAATCTCTAAAAGCAAATATATCAGTTTTATTATTTAAATGGAGTATACAACTTCTATCTTTAGATAATATCACGGTATGTTTAATTAAAATATGATATAAAATATGAGTATATATGCATTATAAAATACTATTATATTATATAATAATTATATTATATTATAGTGGGGTAATACAAAATTGATCGCAGAAACATTATTGGCAATAAAAGATAGTACTGTAATTAAAAAATTAAACATATCTCGATCAAAAGTATTTTCCAATCTCGGGTAAGTAAAAATTAAGAACTTAAAATTGTTATATTAAAATTTTTTACTACAATAATTTTCAATGTTCTAATTTTTATATTTTTACTTTTTAGTTCTACTTCAAATTTGTTAAGTAATTGTTCTTTAGCTATTGAACGCAATCCTTCTGCTTTACCTCATTTAAATGTGTTAACATATGATGGGCAATTACAACCTATTGTATCTCAACAATCTTGTATGCCTTTTCTTGCCACAGTTTTAAATATATTTATTGATCATTCTTTCATAGAAGAAATCCAGGCAATACTCAATCTTCCACAACTTTATAAGTATTTAAAAAAATTAGAAACAACAGACTGGTGTTTAGAAAGATCATGGTATACAAGATCAGAATTTTCTTTTTTGGTTGCTATAGTAAATGCAACTCTCTTTGTTGAAGATAAATTGGATGATAAGAT